ACCTCGTTACGGTGTCACACCTCGTTACAGGTGTCACACCTCGTTACGGTGTCACACCTCGTTACGGTGTCACACCTCGTTACAGTGTCACACCTCGTTACAGTGTCACACCTCGTTACAGTGTCACACCTCGTTACAGTGTCACACCTCGTTACAGTGTCACACCTCGTTACAGTGTCACACCTCGTTACAGTGTCACACCTCGTTACAGTGTCACACCTCGTTACAGTGTCACACCTCGTTACAGTGTCACACCTCGTTACAGTGTCACACCTCGTTACAGTGTCACACCTCGTTACAGTGTCACACCTCGTTACAGTGTCACACCTCGTTACAGTGTCACACCTCGTTACAGTGTCACACCTCGTTACAGTGTCACACCTCGTTACAGTGTCACACCTCGTTACAGTGTCACACCTCGTTACAGTGTCACACCTCGTTACAGTGTCACACCTCGTTACAGTGTCACACCTCGTTACAGTGTCACACCTCGTTACAGTGTCACACCTCGTTACAGTGTCACACCTCGTTACAGTGTCACACCTCGTTACAGTGTCACACCTCGTTACAGTGTCACACCTCGTTACAGTGTCACACCTCGTTACAGTGTCACACCTCGTTACAGTGTCACACCTCGTTACAGTGTCACACCTCGTTACAGTGTCACACCTCGTTACAGTGTCACACCTCGTTACAGTGTCACACCTCGTTACAGTGTCACACCTCGTTACAGTGTCACACCTCGTTACAGTGTCACACCTCGTTACAGTGTCACACCTCGTTACAGTGTCACACCTCGTTACAGTGTCACACCTCGTTACAGTGTCACACCTCGTTACAGTGTCACACCTCGTTACAGTGTCACACCTCGTTACAGTGTCACACCTCGTTACAGTGTCACCACCTCGTTACAGTGTCACACCTCGTTACAGTGTCACACCTCGTTACAGTGTCACACCTCGTTACAGTGTCACACCTCGTTACAGTGTCACACCTCGTTACAGTGTCACACCTCGTTACAGTGTCACACCTCGTTACAGTGTCACACCTCGTTACAGTGTCACACCTCGTTACAGTGTCACACCTCGTTACAGTGTCACACCTCGTTACAGTGTCACACCTCGTTACAGTGTCACACCTCGTTACAGTGTCACACCTCGTTACAGTGTCCACACCTCGTTACAGTGTCACACCTCGTTACAGTGTCACACCTCGTTACAGTGTCACACCTCGTTACAGTGTCACACCTCGTTACAGTGTCACACCTCGTTACAGTGTCACACCTCGTTACAGTGTCACACCTCGTTACAGTGTCACACCTCGTTACAGTGTCACACCTCGTTACAGTGTCACACCTCGTTACAGTGTCACACCTCGTTACGGTGTCACACCTCGTTACGGTGTCACACCTCGTTACAGTGTCACACCTCGTTACAGTGTCACACCTCGTTACAGTGTCACACCTCGTTACAGTGTCACACCTCGTTACAGTGTCACACCTCGTTACAGTGTCACACCTCGTTACAGTGTCACACCTCGTTACGGTGTCACACCTCGTTACAGGTGTCACACCTCGTTACAGTGTCACACCTCGTTACGGTGTCACACCTCGTTACGGTGTCACACCTCGTTACGGTGTCACACCTCGTTACGGTGTCACACCTCGTTACGGTGTCACACCTCGTTACAGTGTCACACCTCGTTACAGTGTCACACCTCGTTACAGTGTCACACCTCGTTACAGTGTCACACCTCGTTACATTACAGTGTCACACCTCGTTACAGTGTCACACCTCGTTACAGTGTCACACCTCGTTACAGTGTCACACCTCGTTACAGTGTCACACCTCGTTACAGTGTCACACCTCGTTACAGTGTCACACCTCGTTACAGTGTCACACCTCGTTACAGTGTCACACCTCGTTACAGTGTCACACCTCGTTACAGTGTCACACCTCGTTACAGTGTCACACCTCGTTACAGTTGTCACACCTCGTTACAGTGTCACACCTCGTTACGGTGTCACACTCGTACGTGTCACACCTCGTTACGTGTCACACCTCGTTACGTACGGTGTCACACCTCGTTACGGTGTCACACCTCGTTACAGTGTCACACCTCGTTACAGTGTCACACCTTCCGTTACAGTGTCACACCTCGTTACAGTGTCACACCTCTTATACAGTGTCACACCTCGTTACAGGTCACACCTCGTTACAGGTCACACCTCGTTACAGTGTCACACCTCGTTACAGTTCACACCTCGTTACAGTGTCACACCTAGTACAGTGGTCACACCTCGTTTACAGCTGTCACACCTCGTTACAGTGTCACACCTCGTTACAGGTCTCGTTACAGTGTCCACCTCGTTACAGTGTCACACCTCGTTACAGTGTCACACCTCGTTACAGTGTCACACCTCGTTACAGTGTCACACCTCGTTACAGTGTCACACCTCGTTACAGTGTCACACCTCGTTACAGTGTCAACCGCGTTACGTGTCACACCTCGTTACAGTGTCACACCTCGTTACAGTGTCCCACACCTCGTTACAGTGCACACCTCGTTACAGTGTCACACCTCGTTACAGTGTCACACCTCGTTACAGTGTCACACTCGTTACAGTGTCTCACACCTCGTTACAGTGTCACACCTCGTTACAGTGTCACACCTCGTTACAGTGTCACACTCGTTACAGTGTCACACCTCGTTACAGTGTCAACACCTCGTTACAGTGTCACACCTCGTTACAGTGTCACACCTCGTTACAGTGTCACACCTCGTTACAGTGTCACACCTCGTTACAGTGTCACACCTCGTTACAGTGTCCACCTCGTTACAGTGTCACACCTCGTTACAGTGTCACAACTCGTTACAGGGTGTCACACCTCGTTACAGTGTCACACCTCGTTACAGGGTCACACCTCGTTACAGTGTCACACCTCGTTACAGTGTCACACCTCGTTACAGTGTCACAACCTCGTTACAGTGTCACACCTCGTACAGTGTCACACCTCGTTACAAGTGTCACACCTCGTTACAGTGTCACACCTCGTTACAGTGTCACACCTCGTTACAGTGTCACACCTCGTTACAGTGTCACACCTCGTTACAGTGTCACACCTCGTTACAGTGTCACACCTCGTTACAGTGTCACACCTCGTTACAGTGTCACACCTCGTTACAGTGTCACACCTCGTTACAGTGTCACACCTCGTTACAGTGTCACACCTCGTTACAGTGTCACACCTCGTTACAGTGTCACACCTCGTTACAGTGTCACACCTCGTTACAGTGTCACACCTCGTTACAGTGTCACACCTCGTTACAGTGTCACACCTCGTTACAGTGTCACACCTCGTACAGTGTCACACCCGTTACAGTGTCACACCTCGTTACAGTGTCACACCTCGTTACAGTGTCACACCTCGTTACAGTGTCACACCTCGTACAGTGTCACACCTCGTTACAGTGTCACACCTCGTTACAGTGTCACACCTCGTTACAGTGTCACACCTCGTTACAGTGTCACACCTCGTTACAGTGTCACACCTCGTTACAGTGTCACACCTCGTTACAGTGTCACACCTCGTTACAGTGTCACACCTCTTACAGTGTCACACCTCGTTACAGTGTCACACCTCGTTACAGTGTCACACCTCGTTACAGTGTCACACCTCGTTACAGTGTCACACCTCGTTACAGTGTCACACCTCGTTACAGTGTCACACCTCGTTACAGTGTCACACCTCGTTACAGTGTCACACCTCGTTACAGTGTCACACCTCGTTACAGTGTCACACCTCGTTACAGTGTCACACCTCGTTACAGTGTCACACCTCGTTACAGTGTCACACCTCGTTACAGTGTCACACCTCGTTACAGTGTCACACCTCGTTACAGTGTCACACCTCGTTACAGTGTCACACCTCGTTACAGTGTCACACCTCGTTACAGTGTCACACCTCGTTACAGTGTCACACCTCGTTACAGTGTCACACCTCGTTACAGTGTCACACCTCGTTACAGTGTCACACCTCGTTACAGTGTCACACCTCGTTACAGTGTCACACCTCGTTACAGTGTCACACCTCGTTACAGTGTCACACCTCGTTACAGTGTCACACCTCGTTACAGTGGTCACACCTCGTTACAGGTACAGTCACACCTCGTTACAGTGTCACACCTCGTTACAGTGTCACACCTCGTTACAGTGTCACACCTCGTTACAGTGTCACACCTCGTTACAGTGTCACACCTCGTTACAGTGTCACACCTCGTTACAGTGTCACACCTCGTTACAGTGTCACACCTCGTTACAGTGTCACACCTCGTTACAGTGTCACACCTCGTTACAGTGTCACACCTCGTTACAGTGTCACACCTCGTTACAGTGTCACACCTCGTTACAGTGTCACACCTCGTTACAGTGTCACACCTCGTTACAGTGTCACACCTCGTTACAGTGTCACACCTCGTTACAGTGTCACACCTCGTTACAGTGTCACACCTCGTTACAGTGTCACACCTCGTTACAGTGTCACACCTCGTTACAGTGTCACACCTCGTTACAGTGTCACACCTCGTTACAGTGTCACACCTCGTTACAGTGTCACACCTCGTTACAGTGTCACACCTCGTTACAGTGTCACACCTCGTTACAGTGTCACACCTCGTTACAGTGTCACACCTCGTTACAGTGTCACACCTCGTTACAGTGTCACACCTCGTTACAGTGTCACACCTCGTTACAGTGTCACACCTCGTTACAGTGTCACACCTCGTTACAGTGTCACACCTCGTTACAGTGTCACACCTCGTTACAGTGTCACACCTCGTTACAGTGTCACACCTCGTTACAGTGTCACACCTCGTTACAGTGTCACACCTCGTTACAGTGTCACACCTCGTTACAGTGTCACACCTCGTTACAGTGTCACACCTCGTTACAGTGTCACACCTCGTTACAGTGTCACACCTCGTTACAGTGTCACACCTCGTTACAGTGTCACACTGTACTGGTGAGAAGGGCGAGAGTACCTGTGGGAGAGGTAGCATGCAGCAATGAAGCGGAGGAAGCAGGCTCCCCCCGCGTTGCTGGGGCTGCGCGTGTGTAGCACTGCCACGTGATCATCGTCTGCTGTGAGCCTGGGCAGGAAGGGAGTGGAAGGAAGAGGGAAGGAAGGGATTGACAGAGTTGAAACTCCACTGCTAGGACTGCTTGCGTGTGCAGCACTGCCACGTGGTCGTCGTCTGCTGCTAGCCTGATGGGATGCGAGGGGAGGAGGGAGAGTGGGAGTGAAAGGAAGAGGGAAAAAGAGAGTTGGTCATTGTCTGCTCCGTGACTTTTGAGTCGACTCACAAGTCACTTCGATTCCTTGTCACAAGCCTCATCAGCTGTCTAGGGTTCCCGCACAACCCCGGCAAGCCTTAAAACGTAAAAACAAACAAACAAACGAACAGTGCCTGTGCATGGTATATACCATGTGTGCATGGTGGAGCAGGCTCGAAAGATGATGTCAAGAGGACACACCATGGGCCCTCGAGGCCAGTCCCACGGCGCTCCCAGCTGCTCACAGAGGAAGGGCGGGGTACGGGAGGAGAGCAGCAGTCAGTGAGAGACTCTTTGAATCATCAAGACCCCTGATAGGAGGACACAACATGGGCCGTCAAGACCAGCCCCAAGGGGCTCCCAGCTACATGCAAGGGAAGGCAGGGGAGTGATAGAGAGCAGCGGTAGCTCTCACTGCCCTTCACCACCGCTCACCACCGCCCATTACCTCGCACACGTTTTTGTTGAAAAGCGAGTAGAGCTCGGCATCAGGAAGAGGCGGGCCAAAGTTGAGCAGCAGCACATCGGCAGAGTAGTTGTGCGCGAATATGCGCGCTGCTTCCGTCATTACCCCGATGTACCTGTTTGAATGGGTGGTGAGGGGTCGTACGAGGTGGTGAGGGGTGGTACGAGGTGGTGAGGGGTTGGGATTAGTGAGAAGTTGAGCAGCAGCACATCGGCAGAGTAGTTGTGCGCGAATATGCGCGCTGCCTCTGTCATTACACCGATGTACCTATGGGTGGGAGGGGAGGGGGGGGGGGTGGTTGGGGGTAGGACAGGGCATGGATATGGTGGGGACAGTGTGGGGTGATGAGTGGTGGGGGGTGGTGAAAACTTCAGCAGCAGCACATTGGCAGAGTAGTTGTGGGCAATGACGAGTACTGGGATGGTGGCGAGTATGCATGCTGACTCTGTCATCACCCTGATACACCTCTGTAGGGGGAAAGGGGGGAATGGGGGAAGAGAAGAGAGAGGAGTGTTGCGTGGTGGAGAAGGCAGAAATGGACGAATGTGGAGAAAACTGGGCAGATTTGGACTATCGTGGACATCATTGAGCTGCTTCAGTGATGTGCATTGAACATTGAAGACGTGCTTCCACCTATCAATGATGGCTCCATCGGTGACCCCATGGGAGCAAGGGTATGGGAGAAGAGGAATTTAGAGACGTCTTGGAATCCAGGATAATTTGGCTTTGAGACGGAAATGTTCAGGATTGTTTGGATTCTAGTCGTTCTAGACCAACGGAAATGTGGGTCGTCGAGGGAAGGGAACGCCACGGATACCCCTGTCGCGACGGGCCTGGCGGACTCCTTTTCGCGAGGACCAATGAGCCACACATGTGCGATTCAGAGCTGAAATGGTCGAAGCGGAGTGCTCAGAGCTGAGTGGTCGAAGCAGAGCAGTCAACAGAAGAGGAGAGACTTGGAGGGATTCGCGGACCTGTGGTTGTCTATAGCGGGTGTGAGGTGTAGCGGGTCGTTTTCGTAACACAGTAAGATGAGTCGGTCGTGAATGTACTGCGGCACGCCGTCCTCGCGAGCTCTGCCGTGACGCCATCGCTTTCGCCCGCCGTGGAGCACCACGCCTTCCTCCCACATGGCTGCGAGAAATACCAGCGAACCAGGGACGTGCTGCTCTATTTGGAAGAAACTGACGTTTAGAGAATTTGACCAAATCTCGGTAAACAGCTCTCGTAGCTCAGTTGGTTAGAGCGTATGGCTGTTAACCATAAGGTCGGTGGTTCAAGCCCACCTGGGAGCGCTTTTTGTTCTCCAACCAAATGCCCGAACCCAGTCTGTCTTCTGCCTGGCAACACTCCTCAGAAGCATCTGGAACCAGTTATTACATGGACAATGGTTCCAGGATATGGTGTGGTCATGTTTGGACAGCTTCACAAGCCAGCAAGATGCATGCCCACGCTTGCATTGCCAGCATGCAGCCATAGCTGCAGCACAATTCCAAATTCCAATGCTCAGATGTCAATATTCCGTATGCTAATAATAGAAAGCCAGCATGACACTTAAGTTTCTCCATGCTGCCAGTGAGATCATCCAATGAGAAGCCTGCTCTACTGAGATAAGGTACAGCTAGAGCCTGGTCTGGCTAGCTCAGATAGGGATCTGGGTTAATCTGAGTCACGGCTCAAGGCTGAGATGATGATGATGATGGTGGTGGTGATGCCTGTACATGTGTGTAGTGAATGGTGACAGACAGGGATCATGGTGGCGCTCAAGGCTGGGGTGGTGGCGGTGCTGTGATGCCTGGTGGTGGCTGGGGGGATTGTTGGGGGATGCCTGGGGGTTGCGTGAGAGAGCAACAGTCTTCATTCACTCGGCCAATGGCTCCTTTGGCTGCAGCACTGCATGGTTGGTGTCGCAACCACCATGTGAGCTGTAACATTCCACTGCCCGCCCTAAACGCCAAGCCATGCCGCCCAGTGCACTGCACCATGGTGCTACTGTGTTTGGCGGGTGTTGTAGGAGCCGCAGTGCGGGCACTTGTGCCCCACCACATGGAATGGCACAGAACCACTGCCCCCACAGTCATTGCACAGGATAGGCGTCTGAAGAGGGTTCAGGGAGAAAAGGTGGTCACAGGGAACAAACAGGTGAAGTTTCAAAATGACTCAAAACAAAGGAAGAATAGGAGTAAAGAGGAGGGAAGAGGAGGAAAGAAGTGGAAGAATCTGGGGAACACAAATAAGAAGTGAAAAATATGGATTCCTAGACCTGTAGAACAGTAGATGTGTCGAAATGGCACGAGGCACAGGCATATGGTAGCGTGAAACACTTACCATCTGGTTTTGATACGCTTCTGGCATGGGTGTTGCAGCAACCTGCCATGGCATCACACAAAGGCAGGCCAGGAAAAACAAAATCTGAGCAGTTACCAAAAATACTTGAAGCCAACATGGGAGCACCATTCACAGATCAACAGTAGCATCTGAATTGGAAAATATCATCCCCTGTTTCTGCCTGTGCTTACAACCTGTCTCGCATTGCAACGCCTGAAATCAACATCACAATTTTCATGTAAACAGTGAAGTCTTTCTGCCTGTGCTCACCTCCTGGTCCAGCTGGGCCCACACTCGGGACATGTCAAACATGGTCTTGCAACAGATGGGGCACGCATACCTGCACACACACATGCATGCACACACACACATACACGCACACACAAACACACACACACACACACACACACACACACACACACACACACACACACACAAGTTTCCACAAAGACTCAGCAATCTCAACAATTCTTACATGGAGGATGGTTTACAGCAAGGATGGAGCCCATACCCCTTTTCCTCCATTCCCATCCTATTTTGAGTTACACCTCCCCACTAAAATCCTCGCTCACATCCCTCACTCACCTGTTGTGTTTCCGAAGCTCGTCCAGGCACTCTGTGTGGATTGTATGCCCACACTCCCGCAGCACCGAGGTCTCTCGGAGCGACTCAAAGAGAAACTGCCAGAGGGGTGTGGGTGCAGGCAGGCAGCAGTGACACAATAAGTAGAGAAAAAAATTCGTCACTCGCACAGCAAAAGGCATGTCAGCCAGAGCATATCTCACAGTCATGCAGCACCAGGGTCTCCGGAGCAACTCAAACGGAAACAGCTCACCTCGAAGCACACAGGGCAGTTGTGATGCATGGATTTCTCCACACAGCGATGATCCTCTCTCAACGACGTGGCATAGCAGCAGCCTGCACGGATACACGTGTGATGCGAGAGAAGGGTGGCAGTGCAACGGGTAGCGAGTTAGAGAAAGGGGTAGCGAGTCAACAAATGGTTCTCTTATTTTAATAGACTAAAAAATCGCACGAAGCAACCTGCGTGGCGGATAGGCGTATGGTGGCAGAGCAGCGTACGGTGGCTGGCAGTGCATGGGACGGCGAGCTAGGGCAACAACAAACCAAGAGTAAGCAGGTGGCGACAGTGAGAAAGGTAACCTGCATGCACAGCACGCACCACACTGAAGCTGCATATATCACATTGAACCTGCACTTACCGCACTTGTTGCAGTGGAAAAACTTGTCCTTGCCACCAACTCTGCAAATGCCGCACTCGTCACAGTGGAAATGCTTCTTTGCAACCTGCACAAGGGAATCAAAGCTTCAGTAACCGCAGCTTATCCAACTTTTTTAATTGGCTTAAATACCAAGCAGGTGCAGATAATAGCTTGAGTTAGCTGAGCTATCTACACCATGACATGTGAATCACATGACATACCTCGTCATCATAGAACTTGCACTTGAAGCAGAAATACCGTCCCATGCACACACCACATGCCTCACATACTTGTTGCACCTGAAGAACCAACCGAGGCGAAAAGAAACAAGACAATGACAGGGCTATAAGAAACTGGGCACTTGAGAGTAAGTACGCTTACCAACCATGATGGCTCTTTGTCTCTTTTACGAAGTCACACTGCCTATCCCACATGCACGAACCTTGGTGCATCTTGAGCAACTGAGTCAGGATGCACCTGTGAGCTATTGCATCAAGCGAATTCGTGTACAATCAAATAATGATTCGTCTGTGAGAAATGAGAAAACACGTGCAGCTCACCTTTTGCTCGGTCGAGCACAAGGAGCAAACTACCTGCAACAAGAAAAACGAGCAGAAAAAGCAGGCCAAGCCAAACAAAGTATTGCCAAAGCGGTCAGCACGAAGGCTCAAATGAACGCAGATCACAAGTGGCAAAAGAATCACAGGCACGTCAGGGTAAGAGAGGATTACTGAATTTTCCTCAGTTTCTCCCTCAGGCATACCCGTTCGATATTGTGCCGAGCAATCTCATGTCGACTTTTGTCCTCTGAATGACTCTGCTCACACTCAAACGCAAGAATTCAAATGAATCAGTAACGACGGCCAAATCTGACCAGATTGCCTCAACCACGGAAACGCTCGTTTTGGGGGATCAGATCTATCCATTTTAAGGAGATCAGTCTCGAATACAGCAGCATGTGCAGTTTTTCAGCAGGGACGGCACCTTGGCGTCGTTATGGCAGTGCCGGCAGTCAAACACCTCATTACAGCACGGAGCCTTGATCTTGCATCTTCTCCGGTAGTGTGAGCATCTGAAGGAAAACGAAAAGCCACACTTACAACCTCTCTATGCAAATCTAAGATACACTCGTTTCCGTTGAATTTGGTCGGACGTGACCCCGGGAGCTGGACACAAAAAAGGAAAAAGGAAATACTGAATCGATAGTAGACGATAGTCGACGCACCCGTACTCGCCGCAACCTTTTTGCAGAACGGCCTCGGCGTCTGCCTGTGCACTCGCAGGGGTTGCTGCGTGTACGGCTTCCGCCGACACGTCGAGTAATGTCATTACGGTGCCAAATCTAAGAACAGGACCTTAAACAGAATCTTAGACCCGGAAATTCAGAGTGAGTCACCCTCTGTGGATCAGCCTAGCGCGGTAGCACTTTGCAGTCAACAGGTCTGTCCTAATGTTAGTCGATTAGTCGGAGAGCGGCTAAGAGCACGACGACTACTTGCTGGGGAGATTACATGGGCTTCGCGCAAAGCGACCAAGGGGAGGAACAAGAAGTGCATCAACCTTGAGAACTCCACAGAACGTCACCGTGAGAGTACACGCATCGACAATTCAGGCAGATCCACATAGGCTTTCGCAGAGACGAGTGGAATCTAGTAACTGGGTCCGACTGAACTACCTACCTACAATACAATTCATGGTGTTAGGAGTGTGTCGTGAGAGACCAGTACTGTACTATGCGGTTGGGTAGGATTCGTGTAGCAAAGAGTTCACTCAAAAGTTCAGAGCGGTTGAGTGGGGTTAGAGCCAAAATTGAACTATCATGCCTAGATTTCTCCCTGCCAGCTCCAAGCTGAAGCTTTTCAACGCCATCTAGCTTCACCGACAAACCATTTGGTCAGGGGGGGTTCGGCTTCCCACAGCCACATGTGAAGTCAATAATCGCCTGGAGACTACCGATGTGGTTACCACATCCAAAAGCTAGAGTTTCAAATTTTCCGAACCTTGAGGGCTGGTCCAAGCGAAGGCAGTGGTGCTCGGAACGTTGTAACTGCGGATATCGGGGTTCATAATGGAAACATACAAAATGTCATAACTTACAGTGCAAGGCAAAGTGAAAATCATCCAGCCTTGCCATCAGTTTAGGACTAAAACAATGCTAGACTGCCCAAGGGATCCATCACAAGCATGCTGCAGTTGACCCATAATAACAAATAAAGTAAAATCCCTAAACCTAGCCCCTTTAACCTTACTAGTAAAAACCTGACACCCCTCATTCGCAGCTCAACACGACAGTCTGCTTACTCTTCCACCGTTTCCCCTCACCATTTCACTGTCAATCCTATCGATCCGCTTGCATTGACTTCCTCTACAGCTTCATGCCTCTTGAGAACTCAGAATGGCCATAAGAATATCTAGTCCACCATCCTGCAGCGCACCTGAGCCAGCAAATAGCTCAGCCACCGGCTGATGAAATAAGTGAACAAGGATGAAGAGAAGGTATGGATGGTCATGGTGGCAAGGTCCCTGTGGCTTAACTGATAACACACTTCCCGCTCTTCTTCTTCGTCTTCGTCGCCTTTGGTGGCTGCAACACCACCTTGATTGCCGTGTCAAAGACAGCCTTCACATTCTGCACAGGTTCGTTAACAGGTCCAAACATGGCAAAGAGCAAAAAAGCCATCACATTCAAGCTTGTGTGTGCGTGCTCGACACAAGACAGCTCATGACCCAGTTCCCCTCCTGATAGTTTTGCAATCCAGCACTGGAGGTTACTAAAAAAGGCTAAACAAGCCTTTTGCATGCTGGGAACAGACTACCAAGTGACATCAACAAAGATACGGCAGGAATACAAATGGCAATGAAAAACGTCCTGCTCGGGAAAACGAACGAGGCTGGAATAAATAAATAAAGACAGAAAATCGCCTTAACGAACCTGCTGCGTCTTCGAGCTGCACTCAATGTAAGCTGCTGCACCAATCACCTTCTTCAACTCCTCGCCCTGAAGTCGCAGATCAGATAAACAACAATAAGCAATGGGCCCTTGACAAAAACAGGCGTAACGACATGAAGCTATTGTCGCCTGTAAATCCTGGCGCAAGGTTGCAAGAGAACCACGGTACCTGAGCAGTGCTGATCGGCGTTGCATCTGGGTGCTCTTTGAAAAATTGTGAATCATCTCGTAAATCTGTTCCCAACGGATAACATGAAAGCGGTCAGGGAAGGGAAGAAAAATGGTTGACGTCAGCCAGTGAGGCAAAGAATGGATGAAGAACCTGCCTCTCCAACCCAACTACAGTCAAGGAAGCTGACGCGAATGTCACCAGACCTAGCTGATCAGCTGAGCAAATCAAGCTTGACAAGCTGACCTAGCTTTGTGCCGACGAGGACAATCGGAACGGTCGCAGCGTAATGCCTCAATTCTGGTATCCACTGCTCAACATTCAAACAGGAGGGAAGAAATCAGAAAGATGAGGTTATCGGTCGGCTATGTTCGCGCTTCGGAAGAGATCGGTCCAATAACCTATGTTCGCAGGCGGCATGGTGTAGCTTCACGAGCACATATAGCGAGTGTACGACCGCAAAAAATGAACAAAACACGGCCGCATTGCTAGGACCAATACCTCCGACTTCCTTTCCGTAGGGCTTGTCGGTCACCATGGAAGCACGGGGGCATGGCACGTATGCAACAGAAACCTGGAAATTATCTCTCGCAGGTTGCGTTGCATTCTTTTAGCGGAACACAAAAGGCCCACCTTCTTCGAGACGTTCTCGTAACTGGCTTTGCTGATAAGCGAGAACGCAAGAAGAAAGACGTCGGCGCCTCTGTAGCTCAGAGGGCGTAGTCTATTGTAGTCTTCTTGACCTGTTGACATGGGAAACAAAGAGGATAAGGTCAAAGTATGAACAACCCGGAAGCGATTCAATTTACCGAACCGTCATGAGCACATCTGGTTTCCGTAGATCGGCCAGTTACTATACGAAAGCATCCAAGATGCAAGTGCGTAGGAAACCAACCGATAAAACAAAAACAAAACAAAAATACAAAATTTCCGCCGGTGCCTGAATGAAAATTGCAGTGCCTAAAGGTCACTAAGGAAGAAGGGCCTAACGACCGCTAGGGACGCAGCGTCTAATAATCTCTAGGGACTGTGACTAACCTGCTGTATCCCAGAGTCCCAAGTTGACCGTTTGGCCATCCACCACCACATTGGCACTGAAGTTGTCAAAGACGGTAGGAACGTAGTCCTGCACCAGCGATAACCATCACAAATCGACTCAATGTTCGCCGAGCTGTACGGACAAAAATGTGTAGACTTCGAAAACAATCTTACGCATGCTATAAATGTTAGCTGATACGGCTCGCTAATCGTCGGTCGGTTCGGCTGACTTACAGTAGGAAAGGTGTTGCTCGTGTAGGAGATCAGCATGCACGTTTTACCGACCGCACCGTCCCCTACAGTAACGCATTTGATAAACTTATTCGCTGTACTCATTTTCGACTCCTCCTGCGTCCCTGTCTACCAAGCAGGGAGGCAAGCGAAGCAGACTAACGTTCTGTCTTAAGCTCAGTTCACGAACTCCCTGCTTCCACCCCGTCTTGAACGGATCAGAAAACCTAACAACCGACCTTCCTATCTTGCTGCTGGCTACAGGTGTGAGAGCAGTGGGGGGAATGTTGCTTGTGAGGATTGTTCAGAGCAGAGAGGGGAGGGAAGGGACATAAACGAGAGCAGAGAGGGGAGGAGAGGGACATAAGCGGGGGACTAGAGCGAAGGCTGAAGCCGAACCAAACGAAACCCTGACGGATCGAGGCAAGTGAGGCGCGAAGGAGTGAAAAATGGCAGTTGGGGGAGTGCTGCTTGGCCTTTTCCCTGACGTGCGACGTAGACGTATGGGGAAGCTCGCACATGCGACGGGCTTGGGTTCTGTTTCATGGTCGCACGCGCCATTCTGATGGGGCATGAGGTTACCAAAAGGTGGATTCTGAGCGGCCAGCGACTGCAGCGAAGAATCGTATGACATCGCTGGGCTCGCAAGCAGGATATTCGCGGTATACAATCGAGTACATTAAATTGTATATAAAATTGCCTTAAAAGGGACAGTAGACATTTGACCGGTTTCCAAACTCCAAGGTTTGGCGAAACGAGTTCACTTGTGCGAACAAGAACAGATGCTAATTCTGTTCGTGAATTCCGAATCCCGAGACCATGCATGCCAAATTATTATTGTTTTTAACGACCCTCCTCTCCTCCTGTCAAATGTAGACTGCCATAAAAATTTTCAAGGGAAATATCATTCACGTATCATGTCTTACACGACGACATCATGTCAACGTACATATAAATGTTTACATGTAAACTTCTGTAGGCTAGGTCGGGTTATGCTATAGAGGGTAGATTATGCTATATCTACCCCCATATATGCCCTTCATGAGTCTACTTCTCCATATTATAACATTGTATCACGCTATGTTAGGTCATTAACTTCCGCCCATCTACCCTCCTTAGTTGTTCATGCCCTCACGGCCCCCTCTAGCGAACCCTCCCTTGGCGACCCCCTTCCCCCCATTTTAGCAACCCCGTAGAGACCCCCCCCCCCTCCCCCCCCCCCCTTGTCGCGCACCTTGCCGCGCCCTGCTGCGCGCATGCTGCCCCCTGCCGCACCTACTGCGCACCTGTCGCACCAGACCACGCACCTTGTTGTGCGCCTGCTGCACCCTACCGCGCACCCTGCCGCACGTCTGCCGCTCGTTGCGCCTACCGTGCCTATAGAGACATGTCGCCGCCACAATGCCGCACATTTGCCCGCCGCCACACATTCCGGCCGGACCTATCGGCCGTGCCTGCAGCCAAGTTTTAGGGTTTAGGGTTTGGTTCTGGCTGCCTGCCTCGGAACATCTCCTCCTCCGCATGTGGCTGACCCCTCTCATTCACTGCAGTTGTTGTCAAAGATATGCATATGTTATATTTGTGGGTAGGCTGTAGTGGGGTAGATACTGTGGGGTATAACCCCTTAGGGTTTTCTCCTTGTATCAATTCTCTCGATAGTCAAATTCATTGATGCCTAGATTCTAAGTGTCAGAACATTATATAGCTTATGCTGTTGTGTAGGCTATAGTGGGGTATCCCATAGGGGGTACAACCCAATTAGGGTTTCCTATATGTACTCACTTCATTCATAGTTCATCCATTCGCGTTCTCCTTTCCACATGGAATCAGAGCAGGTCCCCTCCTAGGGACTGTTTCTAGGGCCCACCGAAGCGCGCCCCGAGGCGCGCTTTCCTTTTTTTTTTAGCGACCCTCCGTGTCGCCCCTAGCGGCCCGTTGCGC